ATAAAGTTGGGGAATCTGAGTTTCTCTGGTCTTCAGGCCCCGCGCGGTGTTCGCATCAATGAAGTGTCCCTCTAATAGAAACTGAACCTCAGAGGCAATTTCCCGCCCCAGCTCTTTGGGGTCATCATATGTCTTTTCTCGCAAGAACTTGAGGATGTCATTGAGGATACATTCAAAATGGTTTCAGAGAATGGTCGACATTTCGTCCGCAAAAGTTGAAACGTACGTGGTCTGTTGTTTTGTCTTTTGAATAAATAAAATGTGTGCCCTCGTTTGATCATTCTATTCTTCTCGTTTATTATAGCTGCGAAAATGGCAAGAAGGTTAGTTTGGGCGAACAGAATCCGTTGTGGAGAGAACTTCGCCACACTCATATCGCTCATGTCTCAAGGTGAGTAAGTACGGTAGTCTTCGAGGCAACTAAACAATGCGCTGTATTGTACCTCATCGGCTGGTTACGTTAACTAAAATTGGTTGGAATTCCAACCTCCATCTTTACTTATCTCCAACATTTCTGTTGCCTCTGTTTCACATTTAATTTCTGGATCCCGTCCCTTCTGTATCTGCAACGCAGTTCTGTATAGAGACTCATGAACCCTCCCTTTCATTTGAATTAGGCGTTGCACTGTGACTGTCATGATCCGCAGTAACTGGGACATGCTGTGATCGCGCTAGATAGCTTTACTGATGAGGAAGAATTTCAGGGTCATCTGTTCATTATGTCGCTGTTTAACATCAAGATCTGCATCCCTGAAGCTCAACGCATTAAGATACTATCGATGCCACTCAAGGTTAAAACCTACCCAGTTCTATTTCACTGTTAATATCGTTTTTCCTCAGCCCTTCGTGTGCTGAAAATTCACAGGGGCTTGTGGAGTACAGGGCTCACAACAGAATAAAATCAAATTTGTGTTCCCAGTAAAATATACAAATCGTGCCGTTTTTTTCTGAGAGCTTTATTTTCTGTCTCTCTCTCTCTCAGTTTCCTTTGCTGTGATGTCTTAAGCTCCGAACAGATCATCGCAATTCCTCATGAGCAGATGGGTTCATCGGTTAACCTATCCGATCGAACCACTTCATTGAAGGTCACCTGTTCTATCCGAAAGCTAGATTTGTTCTGTTTGGTGATCACATACACAGGTTTCGTTTTCGCTCTCTCACGATACGCTCACGTGACTGTCTGCTTTGCTATGGGGTCTAATCTCGTTGATAATTTTAATCCGGAACTGTGCACCAGATTCACCATATCAAACCTTTTAGCCCTGATATGTCATGCGTACACTCTCGTTGCATCATTTAAAGCCGGAAATTTTGAAGCAAAATGAAAATTTCAAAAAAGAAGCATCACTTAAAAGGCTAATTTTTTCTCTTAGGGTAGGGAATTGCGCTCTCTTGAATAGCAGTCGTCAGTAATTTACATCACAATAATATCGCAAACATGTACGCATCGTGGATTAACTACACGGGTCTTTTCTTGGATATAAACGAACAAAAGACAGATAACTGTCTTTCGTTTTATTGTACCCTAGGTGCAAAATGCTGTACGGTCAGAAAAATCGGATTCATTCCCATCTATTTTCAGGATTTCTTTCAAGTAGTGAACTGATAACCGTTCATCATGTATTCCTATTCCGTACTAGTCAAGTCAAGTCAAGTCGAAAATCGCTTTATTCATTCTAATGGATGGATTCTCAGCTTCTTGCACTCCAGGAACATTTATTGTCGCATACAGTCAAAAAAGTGAAAAAACAGCATCGTAAATTCAAAGGAATGCAGAGTAAAAGTTTGAAAATGAATATCAATTGCGTAGGAAATTCAAGAAGTTTTCTCTAACGGACGCCTTTTGAGCCAGAACTCTCGAAAGATAGGGGATGACGGACAAACGATAGGCAGTGGTACGATCATACACCAGTTTATAACGACATCTGGTTACAGAAGTGGATATGCATTGTTTAAGTTCTGTGTTTAATGGGTGAGTGGTGTCCGATCAAATATTGTTGCAGAAGTTATCGCAAGAAGTAAGATGTTTATCGGGGATAAAGTTAGGCAAGTACAAATAAGGAATACCGCTTGTGCGAGAAATAATTTTAATAGACCGGCGTAGAATTGTGTAATCTTTAGCTCTAAGACCGGCAAATGAATGTCACGTATATGTGTTGGTTACCAGTTAAAAGCGAACACTAGGCGGTTAATAATCCTCGTTCATCAGTGAATTAATTGGCATAACTCCAGTGACAAAACAAAAAAATTCTTAGGACACCTAGAAAATCTTTGTATTCTCGAGGTCTGCTTGAAGGCTGCAGTCGTTTTCATTTAAACCACTGTATCTACGTCGAACATCTTAGTCAGCCTTGGTTGCTGAAAAAGAAATATTTAACACTACCCTCGCATCTGGATTCGATGTTGTATCCCTTATGGATTTCTTTTCGGATTCACCTTAATGTCTATTCACGTTTAAGTCAGTTACTTGTGAGTAGTGGCGTGGTGAATGTGGTATTGATTTGGTTTGACCTTCTTTTAAACTTCATCTTCACCCACTATCCTCATTTCCTTCAATCAACTCTACACTGGAAAAGTGTTAGACTCGAGTTTTACTCTCATTAGAGCTCATCAATGGTACATGTCCACCGTTCCATCCGGATTTTGAACTCCAGACCCGTTGCACAGAGGGCGTGTTGCCACATGGTCAACCAGCCTAAACCCGGAATTCACAATTCAGATTTGATCAGATGTTGTCTTCAGCGATAGTTTCTCCTCTGTTAACCGTTATGTTGTTGTCAGTTACGGCACCGCTAGTTGATTGGAGAAGGTCCAAACAATGCTCCCGTATCGTTGACCCATCTGATATGTCCGGTATAACTGCACTATTTTCAGTGAATCAGTTTTTAATACACGCACGCCTCCAATGGTCAGGGTGGGTGTCTAGGGTTGCGGCTCGTCATCCCTCTGGTTCACCTCGCGAAATGCTCCCATACGACCAAGCGTCTCGAATAGCCTTTGCTGAGGAAGCCTTAATCACTGCCCTCTCGTGGCGGAAGTGTTTCCCGCCAAAGTGTGAGTACGAAGAGCCGACATCCGGGGCTATAACCGGGTTGGTGAACCAGTGGTAGTTCACCTAGGAGAGTTGGCCAAAAACCCTGATTCCAAATCAACTATGAGGCCGCGTACGAACTACACCCACACCTTCCCGGTTTTGGCAACGGTCACCGGCTCATTTGGGCCTCGAGGTGTATTGGGTACCCTGGACGTTTTACCCCGTTTGAAAGGCGTATTGTCCGATGAACTGAACACCGGCTCTCAATGGATTGCGGTTTTCGCATACCACCCCGCTGCCTTGCGGGTCAGGCTTTGGCTAGCGAAAGGCTCCGGTTGTGGATTCCTCAAGACAATTCACCTACCTTGACCTGGGCAACCTGGCAGTATTCTGCCCACACGCAAATCGTGGAACGTTTTTCTTTTCGTAAATATTATTATACCATGATCTGTTAAGCCCACATTCTGGATTCAGACGCGTGTAAAAATATATATAAATGTACATAAGGAAAAAAGTTTATCATTTTAAATGTTCTGAACGCCTTTTCTAGCACTCTAAATTATATTTCACCCATGTTTGAGTTCAGACTGTGTGCCAAACAAATCATATTGCATTTATCTTTATAAACAAAAAAGGTCCATGATTTACTGAAGAGCGCGATACTGCTAGGTTACCCAGGCCGAGGCAGGGGCGTTTTCTTGGGGACATCACAACCGAAGCCTTCGGCCAGCCAAAGCCTGATCCGTAAGACAGCGGGGCGGTGTGTCCAAACCGCAGTCCATTGGGAACAGTTCATCGGATCATGCACCCATTGGACGGGGTCAAACGCCCAAGGTGCCCAACACACCTCGATGCCCAATCGAACCGGTGACCACTGCCACAACCGGAAAGGTGTGAGTGAGTGTGATTCGTACTCCTCTCGGTTGGTTTGTAATCAGGATTTTTAGCCAATTCCTGTAGGTGAACTGCCAGCGGTTCACCGACTCGGTTATAGCCCCGGATATTGGCTTTTTGTCCTCTCGCTTTGGTAGGAAAACATCTCCGCCTCGGGAAGGCAGTGAGTAGGGCTCCCTCAGCCGGGGCTATTGGAGACGCTTGGTAGTGTAGGAGTATTTCGTGGAGTTCAAGTGAAGTGACCGACCCATGACAACCCATGACACCCACCCGCGACCGTACTGAGGCTTTTAGGGGCAGCGCTCTTAAAACGGACGGTATAATAGGAGCAAGCGAATTTGGTGGCTGGAGTTGAATTTTACAGCCCTCCGATGAATGAGTGCGTTGCCGAATAGGAAGATTACTGGAGCGTCTGGTCACTCAACAACAATAAATGATAAATGTGATCAGCCCATCAAAAGAATGCCGTGCAACAGAATGGGGAAAGTCTGGCGGTGATGGGATTCGAACACGTGCTCCGGGTTGACATTTTGGTAACGGTACCATTGAGCCACCATCGTCCATTAAAATTAAATCGTCAGACAATGTTGCACCAACTAATTCTCATTTGGTAATTGAAGCTGGCCGCAAATGCACCGGAAAAACAGTCTGAAGCAATTCACGTTGAACATAGAGAACGGCATCTGCTCCCGTATACATACCGTATCAAGTACTCTTACCTGACAAGAACGGCAGAAAGAATACGATTGATGTCAGTTATACACTTCAGTCACAGTGTATTTTAAACTTCAACCAGATAACTCAGGAATGCCTTCTATGCCTAATCTTTTAGTGCAGTTCTTCATATTCTATCCGTTGTATTTGTTTATCCCTAGCCTGATCGTCGCAGTCAGGATGAACATAAGTCACTGAACAAGAGGGGGCTGACTTGAACTCTACCGGATTGACTTTTAAGGCACACAAGATGCACACTGATCAATAAACCTCTTGATTGATCAATACTCGAAATGTCGACTTCTCGGCTGACCAATTATGTGTGACCCGCTGAGGACGAACTGTCATCAGTTACATGACATGATTCGAAATCTCAGTACACTTCCGTCCTTTCAAAAGATTGGCCAGTACACACTACTTTAAACTCATAAGTCCGGCTGATTATTAGGGTTGATGGTTAACCGACGTATCGGAGCTAGAGTTTATCTTGAATTTCTGCGAATCAAGCTGATCAGCTGTCTTGATGTTTGTGCTGAAATCTGCAGGACCTGCGGTAGGATATCGACGGTCCATCAATAAATCCATAGGAATCGAATCTAGCGAATAATCGGTTAAGTTTAGTCGCACGCACCCAGGTCCGAGCTGGTGTAAATACCCACTCCATACCAATTGCTTACTCTAACTTTATATGTAACGGTTTCATCTCGTTTTATCATATCATCGGGAGTCCAATTCTCGCCACCAGTGCAAAAATTACGTATATAAACGTGATACTCTGCCTTAAATGTTTTCAGCCTGACACCTGTGTTTGTATTGGTTTATGAGCGGTTAAAATCATGTCGACTACCGTTAACCTCATTTGTTGAATAAGAAACCATTTAGCCGGAGACTTCTCTTCTGTGGTGGTTGTTTTGGGATTCGAGTGGTACGTAATGAGAAAAGCATCAATCGGTCATTGTAGTTTACCCCTCCCCCTCTAATTTAAAACCTTACTACACCATCTGCAATAACTTTTATAACAAAGAAATCGGACCATGATCTGGTTGCTAGCAGAAATACTAACAGGGTACCCAGGTCAAAGCAGATAAATTTTCTTAGGGGACTCAAAACCGGAGCCTTCGGTTAGCCAAATCCTAAACCGTAAGGCAACGGAGCATTATGTGCAAACAGCAATCCGTTTGGGGCCCGTATACAGCTTTTCGGATTATACTTCCTTTGGCCCAGATTAAACACTCAAGATGCTCAATCAAACCAGTGACCACTGCCATAACCTAGAGAGTATGGTTGTGATATGTGTTTCATACGCCAATTCTCGGTTGGTTCGGAATCATGTTTTTCTAAGTGAAATCTATTGGACGAACTGCCAATGGTTCTCGACCCGATCATAGCCCCCAGATGTTGGCTGTTCGTCCTCTCACTTCTGTGATAAAGCACCTCCTCCAAGTGATGTCATTGAAAAGGGCTTTCACAGCTGAGTTTATTTTAAATACTTGGGGCCTAAAAGCGTTCCGAGAGGTGGACTGGAGGGTCGATCAGTCACAACCAAGATATCCACTTCCGACTATAGTAAAGCTGTGAGGGTGATGCTTGAAGCCAAAAAGGCTTCTTCATATTAACCGCTGATAAAATTGCTATGAACTTCGGCGTATACAGGATAAAGGAAGCGTTAACCGATACGTTAGTAAGTGTTTACAACTCATTTGGGTGTCATCTATCCAAAACGTCCAGCGTTCGAATATCTAACGACAACCCAAAAGGTTTGAGAGAACAGTACAATGCTTTTGAGATTTTCAATTCACACTCTTTTATCGGTAGACGATGAAATTCATCATGTAATAGAATTAAGTCCTCCACTGCTCCCTTGTAGTTGAGTCTTTCTGGTTCACTTTGCCAGTGATCTTCCAGCCCGTGTGCGGGAATTCGCAGCCAGCAAAAAGCAATTTCTTGCTCTCCAGAAATCGAAATCTAACCAATCCAGTGAGGGTGGCTATGTGAATGAAGGTGCCACAATTGAAGCTGGTCCGAAGGATTCCGTGGGCCTGCAAGACTTGTCTAATCTGATACGTCAGTTGCCCCAGTTCCAAGCGGAAGCCGCAAACTATTCCGCTCTGTATGTGGTCACTGACGCCTGTATGCGCATCTTTCGACAGGGTGCAGATAAATTGTGCATTCTGGAACAGGTAAGTGAAACACACCCACCTGTATGGGCTTGCTTGACATTTTTCAACCGCATCATTACGTTTAATCTTCTTAACACGTGTTGGGTGCAGTAATGCAAGAGAGTATCCATATTTAATTGTCGGTTTATTGCCCTTTAGTATCATGTGTTACTGAGTGCAATATTGTGTTGCTTTTCAATCCACCAGTCTCTGCGTGAATCTCAAGTGTCATCTTCACTAGGAAGGTATGTACATAGCAACAAGGTAGTACGTGTGTTTCAGTTACGGTAGAAAACTTTACTATCGCCCGGTCCAATGTATCACCTATTTATTGCTTTTGGAGCACTGTGGTTTGCTATTTCAAGTCCGAGGTTGTCGGTTGCAATAACTGTGTGCTGGATTTCCATGACCATAATTCATCACATCAAGTTGTGTGTGGAAAAAATGCAGATGACCAGTTTATTCAGTAAACCATAGGAAATGGTTGAGTGTTTTCTGAACCTTTTTATCCCTATTGCCGTTTTTCGTACGGGTGCGTAAACTAACACACACACACATTTTCACCATGAAGGCTTTTTTCCGACGTAAATTGTAACCTCAGTCAGATGCTGCAAACATTGAGTGCCTTCCTTGGTGAGAAGCAAATGTATAATATATCATCGTATATGAATTTAATCGCCCTAAGGTGGAGTGTTTCATCACTGTGTTGCATTAGTATGTGTTTGCTGCTTTTATGGCCGGAGATGGATCGTCTCCATGTCGCCTACTGACTTCATTCACTCTGTCCTCATTTTTGCACTTGCTATTGCCGTGCTTATTGACAAACGACACATGCAATGCAGCCACAATTTCCTAACCCTAGAAACAATCATATTTCAAGAAGCAATGATCGGGATCTCAGGTTTGTGCCATGCCCGTCACGAGGATGCACCTTGACGTGGTGTGATGGCTTGCGCACCTCTGTGACCCAACGAGCTACACAGGATGGCTTTTATTATTCCTGAAAGTTCGGGGTGCAAAGGTCAGGTTCCAGTCCGAGCTATGATTGGACTCGAGTTGG